GGGTGAAGGGTGAAGGGAGGGCAGGGACAAGGGGAAAAAATGAGAACCAAGACCTGTCATGTAAAGGTACAAGATCCCATAATGAATGTAACTGAACTGTAAACCTAAAATGTACCAATAAACTCAACAAAAAGAAAAAAAAAGAAAATAGATCTATCAAAATATTGATACAAGACAAATATTCTCATACAATAACTATCTATTAAGTACAATAACTATAACACCATAAAAACTGGAACAATATTTAATAGGGATAGTGTTAACAATCTAAAAATTCATTAAGTTTAATTGTTCTACTAGGAAGGATAAAAGAGATGAACTGGGAAGGGAAAATGTACAATTTGTAAAATTAATTCATAGAAGATAAAAAGAAGAAAGTAGGATAAAAGATCCTATTCAGAGGTAAAAGGAGAAAATAGTATTAGATAAAAGTAACAGAAAAGACAAAGCAGTGACCAAAATAAAAATCAGAACAAATGAAGAATTAATAGGCACAAAGAAAAGCGAAAATAGAAAAGAAAATCAATACCCCAAAAAATAATGAAGGAAAAAGAAAAGAAAAACCAGAAAGAAGGAAAGAAAGAAATAAAAAGAAAGAAAGAAAGAAAGAAATTTGTTTCTGAATAAGTGTTTTTTTTCATGGGATCTGAAATCTTAAGATCCAGCAAATAATGATTTTTTTTTCCACTTAATTTTATGGCCTGTGGGTTAGTGAAGTGCCCTCCTCCCACTGCAGAGGCCCCTTTGTATACCCAAGGCTCTGGCAAAGCTGAGGTGTGTGCTTGCTAACTTGGTATATGGGAAAAGCAATTGGACCACTGGTCTCCAATATGTACATAGGGGTAGGAATTCAAACAGACTGCTGGACTTAATGCCAACCCTTCAGATTTAGCTGGCCCTTAAAGGCACACTGGCCAGGCCTGGTTTTTCATCCTGGAGGCAATGGCACGTGTCCTTCCCAGCTTAAGTTTAAACTTCTCAGAGCATCCCTCACTTTCTCCACAGCTGTCTTCTGTGGTTGTCTCTCATGCAGTCACTGTGGGAGAGTAACAGTGAGGACCCTGAAGTGGAACTGTTTTGTAATTGTTCTGTGGAATAATCATAAACAATTAACCCATTCCCAAAATTATACCTGATTAAACACTCTCTGGCAATATGGCAGGCACTATACTGGGTTTCTTGTCCATCTGGTCTACTGTGAAGGAGTCACTTTCAGAGCACAACTCCATGTTGTTCTTGTATTTTACAATAGCCATGGGTAAGCTCTACTGGTCAGGTCCATTATTTCTCCCTGGAGCTGCCAACTCTCTGGAGCTTATCTTTTCCACCAGAGTATTGACCTCATCCATTATTATGTCTGTCAGTTGGTCTGCACCTCTGCTGCTCCATGCCAAGAGGAAAGAAAGCAAAGAGTGAGTTGGAAGTTGGTAGATAATCATACCCAGGCAAAGAATTCATAGGTGTGGAGTTGGCCAAGGATATTGTCATGTTGGGGTAGGTTCTGTGTGGTATATGGAAGTTCGTTCTGTCCACGCATTTTGGATGTCATTTGATGAAGGGTGCAGAGTTTGTCTCCAGTTCTTATACTGTATCATTTTGGGACATATATTTTCTGTTTACAAAACTCAATTGCCTCATTCATCTTAAAGTTGGGAATGTATATTTACTGCTATCCTCTGCACGGAAGGTTACTATGAAAAAGGTGAGAAGATGTGTGTTTTGTCCTCAGTGTAGTCAGTGGCATGTAAATGCTCCCACGGGAGTGATGTATATTGTTTTTGGCTTAGATATGGTGGCATAATTAAGATGTTATCCAGAACCAAATTGCCTAGGACCAAGGGCATAGTTTCTTTCAAGTTTCTATTATCCTGAATATTGAACACAGTGAGAGATTTCCTTCAGTCTGCCCCTGTTGCAGCAGCATAACCTTGTTCTCCAGGCAAGCACTATCCTAGCACCATATCTTATGTGCTACATATGTGGCTATAAATTTTCCAATAGCCATTATAAAATTAAAAAGTATGTGAATCAATTTTAATATCTTGTTTAACTTAATATGTCCAAATACCATTTCAGCATAAAATATTAATAATGAGTTTTCATATACATTGTTAGACAGTTTTTGTCATGTGGTATGTATTTTTCTCTGAGTATATATTAATTCAGACACTAGATTTTCACTGGAAATACCTGAGTTAGATTTCATAAATTAATGTTGAAAAAATAGATTCACATATCCAGATCACCCAAAGCATAGACCAAGCAAGTTTTCAGTTACTAAATTGAATATCAGTTTTTTAAATGGAAACTAAAATCAAAGAAAGTGAGAAATCTAGGTCCTTTTTGTTCTAGCCATATTTTGTGTGTATAATCCAGTACCCAGGAGCAAGTACACTGGAAAAGAAAGGTCAGAAGCTGTTGTAGTGGTTTTAGATACTGTTTTAGTTCTCTTGTTTCTAAGACAAAATACCAACACGCACAAGTTAAAGGCTGAAAGGTTTATTTTAGCTCACAGTTTGTAAAGGTTTCACTTCATAGTCAGCTGGCTCCAAGTCGGGTCAGCATGGCAGGGAGGAAACAGTCTACGGAACGGTAGGCAGGAAGCAGCAGCACTGAGCCTCCTTTTCACTTTATAGTCCATCCAAGCTAGAAGCCTCTAGGCTGGTACTAGATTATACTAAAATCCTAGAATCTTGGGCCTCAAAAGATCTATATAAAAGAAAAGAAGGGCTTGTACAAATATTTTAATATTAAATTTATTGAGACATCATGAGATTGATACAAATTACCTTCAATCTCTACAATTACAGGAGGTGCTCCAATGGTGGCCATTAGCTTCCAGACATTTGTTATTTTTCTTTTCCTAAAATATGTAAATATCTATACATTTTTGGCAGGTTCTATGTATATGTTCATGCATATGTACATGTGTGTTGTCACCGTGCCAGTGACACATGTGTGTGTACATGCATGTGCATGGGTCAATGCAGTGCAGAAATAACTTTTTATAGAGTTCCTTGATGCATAGCAGAGGACTCCTGCTCTGTTAAACACCTGGCGACAGATGGATAATTGCATTCCCTTTTGACTCACATGGATCTGAGACCTTGTCTTCCTAACTAAATTGCGAGCAAGAACTGCCTTTTACATCCCTACCACACTTGCAGGAATCAAGAAAGTCAACAAATTATTAACTGAAGGCTGAATAATTATAAGAATTCAAGGTCATCTCAAATGTCAGGGTCAGTACAGTGCACCACTCTAAAGTAATCAGTCAAATTGTATTCTATAGTTGTGAGAGTAGCAGCCCTGTAAAGTTCTCCAGGTATAGATTGGGCTTTCTTTCTTTCTTGTGTCAAATTTCTCTTCCCTCCTTGTAATTTGATAGGAAGCAACATTTCATAAGTAAATTTCTCAAATTCTTTCAGAGTTTACATTCTCCTAGTCTTTAAGAGACCATTGAATTTATGCTCCTTTAGGAATTTCCCATTAATGGTATTTTTCTTTGGTTTGAGCAATACCTCAGAGTTCCTAGAGCACCTCCAATATGACCTACACATACCAAGTATAATCAGCTAGGTCACCAAATGAGCAAAGGGACTCTTCGTGGCTACATGGGTCTAACTTTGTGAGGTTGAGGGAAAAACAAGCAGTAAAGGAAGAGGGGTCAAAGAAGTTCCCATAAGAAAACACTGTGTTCACTTTTTATTTCCCAAACTGATGGGTGTTTGTTTTCACTCCTCTCTACCCAGGAAATGAAGTGCTGTCTCCTGGGGCTTCTCTTGGAAGTGGGCTCACACCAGAGGCAGCCAGAGAGCTCGGCCTTCCTGTCGGCACTGCAGTGGCGGCCTCACTCATTGATGCCCATGCAGGAGGACTAGGTAATCTTTTGCCCCCTGCCTGAAGCCAACTCTGTGTCAGTTGAATATTTACCAGAATACGTGAATGGTCCTTGTGTGATTGTAAAGCACAGACCAAGGTGTTTACAGTTAGGCATTAGGTATAATTATAGAACTTTTTATCAAACAAAATATATTATTCCATTATTCTATTCCATAGAAATAATAATATTTCTCCATCTATAATAATATAAAAATTGATCCAAGAAAATACCTGGATATTTATTTGCTTTCCTGAAAATCTTAAAAACTTATGTGCACTTCCATCTGGCATGTATGGCAGTGCTATACTCATTTTTTATAATGGTACTACAAAATCCTTATAAATCTAACAGATTTCTATATTTATTTGTTGTTTTGCAATACTTTGGTTTGCTTGTGTTTTCTTCTTGGATAGAAGGGTTCATGCTGAACCCTGTGTCTTATATTTCTTATAGGTGCTTTATAAATTCATTTAATTTAATCTTATTAAGACAAGAATAAGATGCAGTGGTCTTAGCCTCACCATGAAGATTAACCTGTTTCCTTCAGTGGCAGATTTAAAGCAGTGTTTTGTCCTTCTATGGAATCCAGGGACTTGCAGAAACAGTGTAGTCCCCACCAACCCACCAGTCTGTCCTGTTCATTACCCTGACCTCAAACTCTGGCCCTGTGCCTGAGACAGTGAATAGCCAATACCACATGTGGGCTGGTGGAGAGGTAAGCAGCGTAGTTCTGACTATGAGCAAGGATCTTTCTCTGGAAGCACTTTGCAGTGTGTGCTTTTGGTGGTATTGATTGGAGTTTTTTAATATAAGCACAGAGAGAATTAGAGGCTTAAATGGATGTGGCGTGTTCCTGTCCCTAGTGATCCTGACATTCCAGGTCACATGTGAGGCCGGGGAAGCCTTTCAATCTTGCTTTTGAAATTGCTCTTAAGGTGACAATCTAAGGCTACCTCCAGCCAGGTGACAAGAACTGGGTTGGGGCCAGACCATGCTAAAAGACAGAAAGCTGCTGCTGGGGAGCCTTCCAGAGCTCCCTAAGGGATGAGACAAAACATGCTTTCTCCCTTTCCCCATGACTCACTTTGTCCGCCAGTGTGGGAGATCTATTTCCTAAAAATTTACCTTTAGAATCTTTGGCCTAAGCTTTTTGTTCCCTCTGAAACACAAATGCTTACAAGTTACCGAGTTTCTTCTGTGTTGTTAAAAGTAAGTTTTGTTTTTGTTTTTTTTTTTTTATTGAGTTTATTGGTACATTTAGGGATACAGTACAGTTACATTCATTGTTGGGATCATGTACCTTTACATGGCAAGTCTTGATTCTCATTTTTTTCCCCTTACCTCTGCCCTCCCTTCACC